AAGGGGCCCCCGGAGATGACCTGAAATGTGAGGCTGGGACCCTACATATTGCCCGACAGGCCAAGGTCCTGACACCCAGCCCTCCTCACCATGTAAACGCAGGTAAGTGTAGGGTCTTCCTTACGAGCTGTGGAACGAATAAAAAGGTTAGGGTAAATTAATCACCCTTTCTCTTCCCATGATGATCGAAGTTAGAGCAAAGCAAAGCAATCAAGGACTCTACTGCACCATAGTCCACGGGGGGTTTCCTGGAGTCCATACTTTCGTAGGGTGTTCGACTGAGACCCGGATTGCACCATAGCCTAGCCTACTGGATCGATCATTGAGGGTCATTTTGTCAATGAAAATCTTTTTTTTTTTTTTTTTTTTAATATTGCTCGAATCTATTCGTGGGGAGCAGCACGTGCTGGGAACCAGGCCCAGCGTCCCTTATAATTGGAACACATTCAATTTGATGATTGATGAAAAATTGGGATGATTGAGATAAAAAGCTAGAGATTAATGTTGACTACTCAGAATGCTTATCTACTCAGATCACACATACTACCCTAACCCTAATGATCCCAGGTATTCATACCAACCAGCCAGTCTCTATCGAGCCAATATTGTGTACCAACCAAGTCTCTACCCGGTCTCACACCCCAATCTAGCTAGGTTACAGGGAAGTGACACCCACGCCAGCGCTCACCCTCGTCGGCCAGATTGTAGCCTTTGGTCAAGTATTTTAATTGCCTTCCACCCTCAGCAATCCCCAGAGCTTTATCAAAGGCCTCAAGCTCCTATGAAGGTTACAGGGTGATGCCCCAGCGCCGGCCAGCGTCGTTTTGGATGCTACTCAACCTGGGCAAAAACACAATAAAAACTCAATAAGAATGTAACGTAAAAATTCGGATCTGATAATAGTGGGATCCTGAGCAAACTATCAATCTGATAATGATGATGATGATGTTGATGATGATGATACTTACTGTTGATTGACCCTCCCCTATCCACCCCTCCTCTTCTCCCCTCTTACCACCCCTCCTCTCCCTTGCTGCCTCTGCTAATCAGAACCACTCTGTTGTTGAACGGTTCCTCACAGCCCCAACAATAGGAAAACTTCCCTCTACCCTACTCCCCTCAAAGAAGGTTGTTCCCTCAAGAAGCTTACCTCAAGCTACCTCTGCCCTACTCTGTCACCACAAGTAGATGATGTTTCGCCTTCCATCTCTCCCAGCCCCAGAGTTGGACAGTCCCCCTTGTCCGCCCTGATTCCCTATAGGCAAACACTTCGCACATTGTGTTTCCCCTGCAGAAAAGAGCTCTCCCCACTCAATCCATCCTGCCCTCCACGTCAGCAATCTTGTGGGGAGGATTTTTGCAACCTCAAGTATAAAAAAAAACAGGGAAAGAAGATTTGAAAGGTTGATGATGACGATGATGATGATGATGATAATGGTTGATGAAGCTGATGAAAGTAGAAAACTCAATGAGATGATGACGGCAAGAAATGCCCTAGGAAGAAGAGACTAATGAATAGGTTAATGAGAAGAAGCAACGCAGTAATGAGCAAGACCGACCGCACCTTGATGATGTCAACAATCGGCGTGAAGATGGCGAGAAGCGCCATGCTGAATCATTGAATTTACGACGGCCTAGAAGAGCATGATGATGACAGCAGCGCACTGCGCAATGAAGATTTTTTTTATAAATTTTTTTAATGTGCTATGAGCGCACAACAGCATGAAGAAGATGATGACGATCAGCAGCGTAGGGAAAAAAATGTTGATGTCACCTGATGAAGATAATAACCACCCAGTTGCAATACTGAGATGGTGATAACCTGCAAGAGACAAAACAAACAATAGAACAAGGAAACAACCTGATGAAGAGTTGCTCCCCTAATGATGACCTCCCTGATGAAGAGCATCTCCCCTAATTATGACCTCCTTGATGAAGAGCCGCTCCCCTAATGATGAGCTTCCCGATGAAGAACCGCTGCATCCCAGATGATGACCTCCCTGTTGATAATGACGGCCGACGCTGTGATGATGCTGATAAATAGCTCCCTGATGATCTCCCTCCTCACACTCCAATCGTATGATAACCCTCGCATTATGCACTCCATTGTAGTATGACGTCCAAAACACTTCAGTCTCCATGGGGTTAACTCCGCGTTCCTCCACCGACCGTTGGCTTGCGCCAACTCGCTTGAGCAAATACAGCCTCCTGCTGGGGCGTTAGCTATGGAGTACTTCATGCGGAAGTCAACAGGAGAGTGACCGAGTAGCAGCTTTCGCCACCACTTTCCCTTCTTCCTGTAACTCAGACCAGATGCCATGTCAGCCCGTGACGTGGCGTGGCCTAGCACCTCTGGTTTTTGCACATGCGTCAAGCACCACCTCCTACCCCCTCACCACATCACCAGCACGCTCGCCCACTCGTGTTTACCCACCAGCAGCCAGCACTTCGCCTAGTGAAAGCCACCAGTGCCTCGCCACGTGTGAAAAACCAGCGCCTCGTCCCTCTCAAAAGGCCAGCGCCTCACCACCTGCCGGCAGCCAGCGCCTCGCCACTCTTGAGCAACCAGTGCCACGCCTCCCAACCGCGACCAGCGCCTCGCCGCCATCGCCCAACCAGTGCCTCGCCACCTGTGCTAGGGACCCCCATCTCACCAGCGCAGGTCTAAGGCTGTACCCACCAGCAGCCAGTGCCTCGCCCCATGAAAGCCGCCAGCGCCTCGCATGTGTGAAAAACCAGCACCTCGTCCCCCTCAAAAGGCCAGCGCCTCGCCACCTGTCGGCAGCCAGCGCCTCGGCACTCTTGAGCAACCAGCGCCACGCCTCCTGACTGCGACCATCGCCTCGCCGCCAGATTGACTCAGAGTCCATTCTGAGAAATTCAATGTCATTGAGATTTTTTTCTGGGCACACTTCGACTTACACGGCGATCTTGACTCGATTACATCGAAGGGGACGTTCATAATGATCTCAGAAGACGGTTGACATATCAACCTCGAGAAGTACACATGCTGAACCTGCCAGTGGATGGCATGGATTAAACCAACAGTACTGCATGGTGAAGAGTACGTACGTGAAGGTCGAGGACGGTGGGGGGCTTCTTGGGGTTGGTCGTTGATGCGGTGGACGAGTGGTGCTTCATGTTCTCTATTCTTCTCTATCAGAATTTGGCGCTGCCGTTGCTTTGCGAGTCGAAGTGACAACACGTGCATGCATATGTCTGCTAATGACTGACGGGTTGTTGGTTTCTGAGCATTGGTATGGCAACAGTACCTACCGCTTTTTTTTTTTTTTTTTTTTTTTAACACAGAGGCCCCATCCATTCTGGGGGGCAGCAGTCCGGTTGCTTATTACTGGCAAGTATTTTTCATACCCCTCGGGTTCGAATGAATTTGGCCCGGAGCGGCAGGCCGATTCGGCTACTGCGTTAACGGCCGATTCGGCGATATTGAAAGATCGGCGGCCACGGTGAAAAGTTGCCCTGGGTAGGGACAGACTCTCGACTCTAGCAGAATACGTGACCAAATTAAGTCACTGTGCAGGGAGAGCACCCCTGGAGATGAACGCTGCGATAAATAAAACATGGGAGAAGACAGTCTAACATCTCAGTTGGCGGAGCGCAAAAGCGGCATTGAGGCAGTCGTGGGTCGAGTCCCCAGGTCTTCCATTCAGACCCCCACGGCCTCCTGCGGCGTGCTGCGGGTTCGCCGCTGAGATAGCTGGCTTGCCCCCCTGGTTGGTCTTGGTAGGGGCAATCCCTTCCTCCCTTCCATCCCTTGCCCGGGGTTAGGCCGACGCTAGTGGAATATCAAGGCATCTGGATGAGTTCTCCTTGCTGATATAGGTAGGTAGGTAGTGAGAGGTATAATGGAGAGAACAATACAGAGTAGTTTCTGGAAAAAGGAAAAACAAAACAGAGAAAAGGAAGGGGGACACAAAGGAACAGAGATGGACTGGGCAGCAATCTACATGCCTTGGGCGCTAAGGATCATAGCAAGCTTGTTATGGCTTATAAAGCCCATCCTCCAGTCTCCAGGAGCGACCGGCAAAATCAAAGACCTGGGTTGTAAGTCATTGGAACAGCCATCATGATCATGATGGTGCAAAACCCCCAGTCCCTAAGCTCGTCGGGCAAAGAATAAGAGAATAGTAGTCACGACTAATCCAATTGAAGACGCAAGAAAGACTTCGGAAGAAATTTGAAATTTCTTCCAGGTGATTAAAAATAGGCAACAGTTAGGGCCTTGTTGTGGGAAAGAGTCGGCGGCTCACTCTGGAGTCCGGACAGCAAGAAAATTAAATTCTGCTTATTAGCATCAAGGGGAAACTACGTGGGAGTCTCAAAAAATGAGTTACTCCACTATGGGCCAAGATACAGTTTGGAATTGCAGTTCGGGCAATGTATACAACCCACCTTTCTGGCCAGGTAGGGTGCCCCAAGTGCAATTGCAAACTGTATCTTGCCCCATAGTGCATTTATAACTCTTTTTTGTGACTTTACTCAAGTTACCCCTACCATTAATTCAAGTGTCTGTGCAATCGCAAACCAGAGCGAAGAAGAAAAACAGAAGAGATTATTGCTGGTACAGTTATAGAACACACCCCATATCTTGACCGGAGTGGGATTTGAACCCACGCCCTTTCGGACTGGAACCTTACTCCAGCGCCTTAGACCGCTCGGCCATCCGATCACTGATGGGTGGAGGGTAGTCCTCACTCGTTTTGTACGCTTTAGACCGCAAGTACGTGGCCCCTGCCTTGCAGAAAGACTTTTTTTTTTTATATATAGAAAGACTTTGTCGCCACAGGCAAAACTCGGAGGTGCCTTGCCGCATGGGGTGCCGTTGAAAATAAAAAATCAGCAGCCTCCGAAGTGGGGCAGGTTTCATGCTGACACCCACAGGCCGATATGCGGCCAGGTGTACTGGTCACGGTACTTTAAGATTGACCCTTCAGAACCTCATTAGGCATACCTTTCTAGGCCTTCTGGGTAAGCTCAAGTGTAGTATCTGTTCTTATCCTGTCTCTTATACACATCTAGATGTGTATAAGAGACAGGTGTGTGTGTGTGTGTGAGAGAGAGAGAGAGAGAGAGAGAGAGAGAGAGAGAGAGAGAGAGAGAGAGAGAGAGAGAGTCTAGGGGAGTAGCAGAAATGGTGTAGTCGTGTAATGCATTTTTACAGCGCGAGCATGTGGTCTAGTTTGCAGTCTTGTAGTTTCATCAATAATTTCCTTTCCCTGATATGGACCGCCGTCCATCTATCTATATGTGTATCCCCTTGTTTGGATCTGTGTTAGAGAGAGAGAGAGAGAGAGAGAGTTGTAATGGCGATGGTTTGTTGTTCTGCCTTGTGAAGGCATGGTAACTTGTTGATCTTCTCAAGTTGCCGGTGTAGGTGTTCCGGCTCAGTGGTGAGCTCATGTGAGGCTCGGGCACATCCTTAGACTGGTGTCATGCAGGTAAGTGGGTCTGATTTGCAGTTCGCTTGGATGGTCTTTCCTGGTAATAGGCTGTTCCCCTATCTATTGCGGTGTGTCTGCTTTCGTCTGACTGACGTGAGAGAAAAAATGTGACCTGTGTTGTTGAGTTGGTTTTATCACTTTTGCCCTCTGATTTTGTGCTACATGTTTCTGTGTTAGAAAGAGAGAGAGGGAGGGGAGGGAATGGGAGAGAGGAGGAGCAAAAAGGAGGCAGGCGCAGAAGAGAGTGCAAGAGTCTGCGGGATTCAGGGCAAATGCGAGCAGGTTCGGTGGAGGTGAAGTGTTTGCTGTGTGGTGGCCAGGGAGAACTATGGGAGGGGAGCAATCAAATTGAGGAGGTGGATTGCAGAGAGCAGAGAAAACAAGGAAAGAGGATGGATGCAGATGCTGCACACAGTTTTTGGTACGAGGGGTTGGTGAGGGGTTTCCACAACAGAGGAGGAAGAGCGGGTAAGGGTGGGCTCATGTTGGAGGGAGACGGGTGGGGGAGATGGGGCGGTAGGGAGACAGGTGAGGGAGATGGGGCGGTAGAGAGACCGAAGGAGTTTCCTGTTCCTGCTTAGCTTTCGATGTCACGCATCGTCGTTTTCGTTCGTAGAGTTGTTTGAAGTAAAATAAAGCACCTTGGTTTTTTCCAAGGGTCAAGAATTATCAAGAAACAAGGGAAGAAGGGTATAAAGGAAAATGCCTTTCCTTTATGCAAACGTTATCTTTTTTTTTTTGTAATTTTGTGTCTGGCTGTTCTTTATTTTACTCCTGGCCGTCTTTTCACATTACGTGAACTCGGGGGACTTGAACCTTTAATCTCCAGTGAGATTGCTTTCAGCTTTGAAGTGAAAGAAAATGTATGCATGGGTGAATGTCTCTGCTGGTGAATGGGTTGGATATTTTGCATCTCTGGCATTCTCTGCTGATGTAGTAGAAAATCCGGATATCCAGGCACCCTTGATTTATCCGGATGTGCAGGCTGGATAATACTACACGGATGAAACCGGAGCAAAAGAGGGGGAGGGGGGCAAAATGTGGTACTTACCCAAATTAAAAAACTTCTCCGCAAAATGCAGGCCGGATAATACTACACGGATGAAACCGGAACAAAAGAGGGGGAGGGGGGCAAAATGTGGTACTTACCCAAATAAAAAATCTTCTCCGAAAAATCCGAAAAAAAAGTATGTTGTCGGTTATGACAATATCAACAACTTCTGGCTGGAGGTCATTTCAAAATTCCGAGCAGATCTGGAGATAATTTTTATTTTTTAAAATATATAATATTATATATTATAATATATACATATAGATATAGATATATATAATTTTTAAGTTTCTGAATTTATCCGGGAAATCCGGATAAAACTTTTAACCCCCGGATGTTGTGGTGGGATAGTCCGGATAGTTAATCTGGCTGGACATGCCATGCTACCTGGAAATAAACAGAATGAGCAGGTATTAGTGGGTGAAGGAATTGAAGAAGGGAAGCTCTCATCACTCAGTCTCTGATGTATGCAGATGTGCATGTTGCAGAGTGTAGTGGTCTTTGGATGGGAGCTACTTAATAAAGTTAGCCCTGGGGTCGTTCGCGCTTGTGAGATTTCCGTTTCGTCTATATGCAGAAGCCCACGCGTGCATGCGCGTGAGATCCTTTAGTGTAATCTCTACTAATCTGTCTATATCTGCGGGGTCCTTGATGCAGCCGGTTTTTTATTTTATTTTTATTTTGTTAAAAAGCTTAAAAATTATATGATGGGAATCTATTGGTGGGGGAGCTGCGCACCTGCGTGAAACTCGGTGCAGCATCCCATTTTGAGGGTCCTTGCAATGGCTGTTGCAAAAGTGTCTGTTTTGCCAATGAACTGGGTATTTGGTGAACCGTGCTGAGGGGAATGCGCTGACCGGGTAAGAAGGGTGGGTTGAATTGACCACAAGCAAACTGTCTGTGGGGTCTCTTTTTGATGCAGCCCTTTGTCGATGACGACCATTTCATTCATCGCTATTTCCTTCCGCAGGAGTACGCTATCATTCTGCCAACGCTGGCCGGTGTCTTCCTGCTCTGCTTCATCATGGTCTTTCTAGGACTTGTGATGGTCAAGTCGCGGTGCTTGAAGCAGAAACAGAAAGCGACTTGATCGTCAAAGGAGAGCGCATTGCCCAGGGGAAATGTGTTCATCTGTTTCTGCTTTCTTTCCCGTCTCTCTCTCTCTCTCTCTCTCTCTCTCTCTCTCTCTCTCTCTCTCTCTCTCTCTCTCTCGATTGCTGGCCCTTGCATCATGTTCTCCTTGGAATTCTTTGGCTGTTCGGTGTCCGAATCCCGTACTTTCGACTCTCTGCAATGTGGCTGCATCGGAGTGGCAGAGAGGCATGCCACCCTATTCTTGAGAGGTGTGGCGGGTTAGTTCTTTTAAGCCGTGGCTTCGTCCCTTGCTGAGGAAAACTGTGGAAAAAAAAAAGCTTTACTTGGTCAATGTAAGAGGGGTAAAAGTAATAGGAGTACAGCTCGTGGGAAAAAAGAAAAAAGAATACGGCTTGTGTACTCCAGTCGGTGAATGCCATTTGGCGAGTTAAGCAGGGTGGAGTTGGTGGATGTTTTTTTTTTTTTCCCACCTTATTTTCTTCTCTCGCCTCGCATATCTATATGCCCTATCCATAAGCCCTACGAGGCAGACAATGGATCGCATTTGTTCAGGATGAGCAACTCCCAGCCGTAAATGTACTGACTACCGTCTTCACCCAAATACAAGGTATGGTCATTATTGCTGTATCTAGACTCAAAGTTGCCCCAAATACAGCTATAATGACCGTACCTTGTATTCGGGTGAAGACGGTGGGCCTTGAGCTACCCCAAGGTTACGGGTCTACAGACTCTGCACCTACCTAAATCCGCTCAGTGCAGGGAGCAGCACCCAACCTTGGATGGTTTCTCTTTTCAGACTAGATGGATTGTTCACTCTCCTCCTCTTCGGTTCTCCAAATTTAAAAAATGCCCTCTTCCGGTTCCGTTGTCCAAATTTCGTAGCAAAAGTTGCAACAAAGAGGAAGTCTTAATTCTGCATGTCCTGTTTTTTTTTGTTTTTTTTCGGTTTTTGAAACTGCAAGAATAGGAACTTGTCTTGCAACCGACTGAGGGGATACCCCCAATTGTGCTTTGCTAAATGTATCTGACTGCAGTGACGGCCAGCCCTGGATGCATCTGACTGTAATCACAGTCCAGAGCTGAGAGGAAAGAATCTTTGTGTGCGTGTGCCCCCTGACTGCATCTGTGGTAGCGGAGCAGGAGCTGCCCTCGATCTCTCTCGTCTGATGTACTCCCTGGGAAATCGGGAAGTGCAAAAAGCAAATGCAATTAGAGCGGTTAACCCTATTCAATGCGAAAACGACCCCTTGGAACGTAGGGTGAGGCCCAACTGGTGCAATATTTGAGCTTGGAAAGCATGAATCTGGACGGAATCGTGGTCGTGGTTCCACTTTGTGAAATGAACATAGCAGCAGTGTGACCTGTCCCCCCATTCTTGGGGATTAGGGGTGAAGTGTACCTTGTGCGACGGAAGTTGTGTACATTTTTTGTTATGTCAATGGAGGTCGGATGTGGGAGAAAATGTGTTTGTCTGTAAGGATCAAGCAAGCGAGTGATCTGACTCAGTGGAGCACGTCATCATGCCAGAAGATGTTAGATGCTGTAGCCAAAGAGCAGTTTTCTTTTTTTTTTCCCCTTTTTTTTGTTGTGCGGGTATGAGCAATGAACAGTTCTTCTGCTGCATGTTGTCTTAACTTTGAAGTGCTGCTATGATCCGTCCTGTGAAGTCTGAATGAACACAATCATGGTCTTGATGAGGGATGCTGCAGGCAGAAACACATTCCTCTGCTGCTCTCTTGGCCTCCTGGATTGCACCGTGGGTCTCTTGTGTCTCTCATCTTCCGTGTCTGTTATTACCAAATGCGTGTGTGGCATAGAACAGCGGTCACACAAACGTTCGACCTTGACGACTTGCGGGGGGGGCAAGGAACTGGAGTGACGCTCTCGCCGGAATTGGAAATGGTGCCAGAAACCTAAGGACTTCGTCTTCCGTTTATGAAAGAAGAAGAGGAGGGGGTGGGAGGGGGGGATCAGAGGCGACAGATCGATGGGTTGTGTGAAGTTCTTGTCACCGTTGCGTTCCAAGAACGAGCCTCCTCTCTCTGCATTACAGAAAAGGATCAGGGACCACCTTCCTGTGGGACCATCTTTTTTGTGTGTTGAACTTCAGGTCTGCATATCTGTATAATGGCTTATAAATTGCTCTGAATGCTAGGCTACCAGCCGGGCCGCCAGGGTCCCAGGTGGCCAGCCCGTGCAGGGACCAAGGAAGAAAAAAAAAAAAAAAAAAAAAAAAAATTCCGCAAAATCCTAAAAAAAACTATGTTATGCAGAAAAATAACGGAAGAATCTTTGCCTCAGGGTGCAATCGAAATTCTTCACAAAATTTAGAATAAAAAATAAAATTGACCCCGGGCACTCTGGTAGCCTAGCGCTTTAAAGGTGTTTTTTTTTTTAATTAAAGAAAACGGCAGATTTCATTATATGCACCTTTTTTTTTTTTTTTTTTTTTAAGCCCAGGTTGTTGTAGAGGTCAGGTTTCTAGACATATGAGAGGTGCCTTCGGCACTTGACTATGCTGTTTTCCTATGGAACTTCCCTTCCCACCTGCCACTTTCGTAGTTTTCCCCCCGCGCACCTCCACTCCCTCAGTCCCCAGGTTGTTGTAGAGGTGTGATACTTGACGGATGGCAGTCCCCCACAATACTCGGCCACTCGGTTGTCTAGATGAACCCCTCTGAAGACCCCATCCACCCTTCCTCTTATCTTTTTGCCCTGGTGCACCCCCACCCCCCCCTGTCCTACCCTAGTGTTAACCACCCAGGACCATCACCCATTGCCATCTTGGCGGGGTGACCTCACCAGACAGCGGTTGCAGGTACCGGGGCTAAGCAGAGATGCCTAACCCCTGCTCAGCCCTGGTTGAAGCAGACGCCGTGCAAGCCTAATTGCACGGGGACTTACTACCTTTATCCACTACGGACGACCACCTTTCAGTCTATTACAGATGGAGGTGACCTGGCCGGACAGTGGTCGTGGCTACCGGAGTAAGTATAGCCCTACTTACTCTATTCAGTCCTGATCGAAATATAGTCGTTCGAGCCTTGGGGCACGGGTACTTCGGGCGCTACGACTAGCCATATCTCTCTCTACATGTCCCATAGGTACGTTATTTACGATAATCTATTGTGTGATGATGATACACGAGGACTTCCTTGCCTACATCCGGACATAACCGTGGCCAGATACATCCAAGTAGGCCTGTAACTACGGTCAGATCCATTTACACCACCACTACCCCCGCCATTTAGAGTGGGGAAAACCAGGGGAGTGGCAAAAATGGAAAATGCGTCATTGCCGCTGCGAATATTTCACTGTTTAAACGATTTTTTTTTGACATTTTTCTCGGAAAAATCACGACCACATCTACGGATCCTCCAATTTTCAGATTTCTTGACACATTCATTTGATTGTAAAAAATCGCTGAAGTTGAGGTCCCTTACCTTTCCCGTGGGCCCACACGTGGTCGAGTGGCAAGAATGGAAAATGAGGTGAATCGGCGTGGCATTGATTTCACAGCCTAAATTCTTTTGTTTTTTATTTAATATTTTTCCTGGCAAGACACGACCAAGTCCACAGAGGCGAATCCAATCCTACAACATACCGGAGGCGGTGATGGTTGGGATTATCTCGGTTGTGTGCTTCGTGTTTGTGAAGCTTAGGGCAGATGGGGGTGCAGTGTTTGCCAATGATAAAGAATCAGCGGACAGGCCTTAATGCCATTTTTCATTTTTTTTTTTTTTTATTATTATTATTTTTTTTTTAAGAGGGCTGCACCGCACTCTGCTGCTGTGCAATACAGAGGCAACACTGGAGGGGTCGAGTAAGCAAGCGTACGACCCCTCCGTGGCCCAGAAAAATTAATTTAATATCGTGTGGTCCAATCATCCGATGGACCACGGATCAGATATTAAACTGATCAGAACAGATACTACACTTGATCTTAGCCAAAAGGCCGAGAAATCTTTCAAGGCATTCAAGATTTCAGATCATATTCCAGTCGACAACAAAAAATAGCTGTGGTCATTTCGTTTCTCCTTTGTGCGAAACTGTACTCTTCGATGGAAGGGTCGCAGTTACCCTTTCTTTTGACTCTCAAGAGTGAGCTCTGGCGAAGAGGCTATCCCGATGACATTTTCGATATCTCGCTTCGATCCACTTGCAACAAGTTTGGTGGGATTTGGGACAAAAGTCTGGCGTTACTTTCCGGTTGGAATGTTCGGTCAACCTTTGACAGTCAGTAAATTGAGAATGTTCGGTTTAGGAGGTGGTTGGGTTTCTTTTGAGAATGTCATCAAGGGTTGTGTGTTCAAGGATCGTTTGGTCTGGTGCTAATATCTAAGGGGGGACTGCGTGGTGATCCTATTCTGTCTGGTATTGGGTGTAATCCCCCCTCGGACTCTCTGTCGGTGTAGCTAATGGATGATCCTAATCCAGAGTAAGATCCGTAGAAAAAAATTCCCACTACAGTTAAAACAAGAATTCCTGCAACTGTTGCTGTTAGCCAGAGAGGTGTTCTTCCAGTTGCTCCAACATTTGACATAGCCTTTTCAGGTTCGACCGTGTTGAGAGGGGACGTGTGGTTGTGCTAGGGTGTCTTGCTGATTAAGGTACCAGTCAGGTGGCAAGATTCGAATTTTCGGTGATGAATTGGCCGGTAGGCTGGTTTTGAATAGTGTGTCTTGATGGTGGGTTTTGAACTGTCGTCGACGTCAATATGCGTTTATTAATGGGTTTTTGATGGTGGTTTTTTGCACCGTCCTTGACGCAGCTGGGTTTTGTTTAGGAAATACTTGTCGAGGGTTTCGAACTGGCGACTTTTTGCATATTAGTGGGTGGCCGAGGCATGAGGTTACGAGGTCACCAGTCAGTTTTGTTTCACTTTTTTAGCTGCGATGGGACTGGGTTTTGAGCTATGAACCGGACGCGTGTTAGCGCAGATTGTTTCTTACACTTCCACTAGCTAGCTACGACTATGCTAGATATTGCTAGTTTTTCTGCTCTAGTGGTTTTCGACACATGATAAATAGGATGGCCAAGGGTTTCTCGTCAAAACGCAAAGACCCCTGATGATCCTGGTTGGCGGCCAGGTGAAACCAGTAGGGTCCGACTTGGTTCGTCGACTTGGTTCGTCATGTTGTTTGTCATTTTATATTTTTTCACAGCAGTCGCGTTCAGGTTACTCTGACTCCCGTGTCCTGTGTCGTCCATCCTATGCTCCTTTGTCTCGAGTCATCTCCCTCTTCCTGTGTCTGTCGGTGTTCGTTGTCGAAGTCGTGTCGTCTTTCCATCCGCTTGGTGTGTTTATACGCATACAAGTCCACAGACCCTCCCATTTTCAGAGTTTTGCGTTATTTTTTCAAGCACAAAAACTTGTGGAAGTTTGCGTCCTTTTTGGGCTATGCCAAATTGAGAAAGACACAAGTGATGGTGTAGAAGGAGATTAACAAAAATGAGACGCCACACATGTAAGCTGCAGAAAGGAAGTACCAAAAGGGTACTAAGAAGTTAAAGAACTACTGGAAAGTTACGACGTTCTTGTCCCTCCCAAAAAAACGTACCTTTCGTATGAATACATAATGTGCTTTCTCCTGGGAAAAAAAAAAAAAAAAAACGTACGTACGTTATATACCAATATAACATACAGGCCCACTACTACGTCGGGATACGTTGTATTCCAATACAACATAAACGGGGTACGTTATATTCCAATACAACATAAACGGGGTACTTTGTATTCGAATACAACGTGCGTAGTACGTACGTACGTTGTGCAGAGGGATTTGAGGTACCGTTTTTCCAGGGCGGGCACTTACGGGGCACGTTGTATTCCAATAAATAAACGAACGAAGATTGTATTTGAATTTTGGATTATGAGAGGGCGGCCCTGGAATGTATGAGAGGACCCCGGCTTCATCCCTTTGAGTGGAAACATACGCTGATTTCGGTGGAGGGGGGGGGGGGGGAACTAGTAAAATAAACAAAGACACCAAAATTCTACTCTGTTTTTTCCCCTTTCCTCAAATTTGGTAGCAAATCTCAACAATATGCCTGAGCAAAAGATGTCCATATTTCATTGATCTTCGAAATATTTGCTGAACATTTTGTAAAAAATAGTGAAAAATGTCTCAAATGACAATGACTTTGAATACAACGTACACATGTTGCATTTGAATACAACCTACATAGTACATACATTGTCTTTGACCTTAACGTTCTATTAAAACAGAACAGAGTAATTTCAAAAAGTCTCATTTTCAAAAGTCGTTCGAATAGAACGTACGTACGTTTTTCTCAGTATAAGACGGTTGTAAGAACTAAAAAAGGACTCGACGATAGATTTAAGAATTGCGACAAAAATTATCATCGTCTGGCTTTTTCAAATCCGCGACCTCTGCCAGCCTGCTAATAGAAATATGCTACAAACTAAGACAAGATTTCACAAAAAAATGAAACGAATAACTTCAGAATCAGGAGAAGGGAAAGAAGAGGAAACGCAGACTCTTCCTGTACGTCCAAATAAGTGGCGGTGTACATGCAAAACTCCATCCATGCATTTACAATTTAACATCTACCATCTTCACCCGCCCCGCTGATTGTCGGCACCAACGCATTCGTTATTCACAACTCCGAGGTTTCAGCACATAGCCAGATTTGCCTTTTACACGACTGCATAAGCGCACCCCAGATAAGGCCTCTGCGCCAGATAAGGCATTCCCGCAAGATAAACATCAAATACAATGTCCTACAAATTTAGTACAAAACCAATTGTTTTGGCAGTTAAAAGTTCGTTAAACACTCTTACACCACCACTACCTCTTGTCACTCTTGGAAAAAATGGGAAAACTGGCTGGCTGTTTTCCCATCTTTTCCGACCTTTTGGGCCTTGTGGGTCCCTTCGAATAGCAAAAAGAAAAACAAAAGATCATGTAGGGGAAGGCGTGCACCAACTTGTGCTCACACCCAAACTCGTACATGTTCGTATCTAACCGCAATAGTGGCCAGTTTCGGATTTTCATTGTTTGTGTTTCATTAATTTTCTTTCCTTTTTTTTTTGCTTTGGTGCCCCACCAGGGAGACACGGCGGGGTCCACGGGGCTGCTGACACGTTGTGGAGGAGGACATGCCCACACAATTGCTTTGCAGAATGTATGAAACCGCTTTCCCGGCCTAAGTTCAGTTTCATTTTTTTTTGCCCTTCTTCTTCGTCCATGGACCTGACACCCTTGACATAACGCCCTCACTGAGGGAATACTCGCACGACGACTTTGGGCTAGGTATCTACCTGGTATCACGTCCAGAGGGGTGTATGATTGTTTTCTTTTTTTTTTTTTCGTGGCTGCAAGCGGGTCGTTTTTCAAAAGTCCGGACGCACTTTTTTTCGTTTTTTTTCAGGAGAGTACCAGAAAAGAAACAAAACTGAGCCAAGGCCAGGCAAAACACGGTGCGCAGTGAAAATCAGTGTCGGCAAAAACAGGCTCGGAGGAAGTGGTGGTTTCAGATGAACGAGTGGTATTTCAAGCTTGGTAGTCACTGACAGACCCCTCAAACAAACACTTGAGTTCAATTCTGCGGGGGCATACCTGGGGGAAGTCTCTTGTTCGTCCACGGAATCCGACTGCCCTCCTCAACAAAAACATAATCAAACTACTTCAATTCCGAAAATGTAACACGAAGATTACCGAGTGCAAAGGCACATTTTGGTAAATCGTATACCTACCTCAGAGAAGTAGGGACTTTTTATTGACTATAAATGTATGGATTGCAAAACGAAATAGCACAATATTTAATTTAAGAAGGAATGCATCTTCATTTACGAAGAGCTTGTAATATCATTCAAATGGTCATAGATTATTTCTAAATTTAATACTAAATACTGATCCACAAAGTTATAAAAGTCAGGTAATTCAGAAAATGGCAAAAGAAACATGTCAAAATCAATTGGAGGTTATCTAAGCACATTCCTCATCTACAAGCGCATTTCCAACACTGTGAAATCTTATCACTCAAAGCTTTAGATGAAGCACCAGAGTTTGCATACCCACTGACCACCGACCACCGACACCCACTGCCGACCGTTTTCCAGCCTACCAGTAGGGCGGACAGGTCGGCAGTCTGCCGACCAGTTTGTAGAGGGTCATCTGGTGATTTGTTTTCAAAGCTTAGTTCAGGCCCTTCAGGGCTGAACTGTGCTTGCTGAGTCCAGCACTTTCCACTGAGAGTACGGGGGTTTTGTAGGGGCGGATATATAGGGGGTTGCCGGAGGGTATGACAGTGTTGGAGAGCGGTATTGGGATGTTGGGGGAGCAGGAGGGGAGGCATGGGGCTGTTAGGGGGGTTATTGGGGGCTCTGGACCCCCCCCAAAACAGAAAAAAAAATTACAGGAAGCCGAGTCTCCCGACTGACTGTGGACCAATAGGTGTCGACCAGTGGAACGCTCGGCTGGTAAACCCCTTAACCCATCCAGTGGCGGGCCGACCGACCGACCGACCTCCGACCAATCCAGGGGKGTCGATCATCAGCGTGACTACTTCGTATAGCACAACAACATATTCGCGAAGTGCCGCGAGAATAGAACGCCTGATCATTACCACTGCATCTAGACTGAAAGTCACCCCAAATAAAGTTACAACAACCAGGTGCTCTACTTGGGTGAAAACGGTAGACTAGAAAACCAGGGCTGACACAAAGCAAAAACTTATTGCCAATGGTGACAACAGAGCTGTCCAATTCATATCAATCTGAAGACCAAAGATGGAGCAAAATATTTTTAAAAAAAGTTTAAAAAACATAACACTTGTGCATATGTAGACGGTACAGATTGAGCAAATGTAGAAACATACAGGTCGACCAAATGTACGGAACATACAGATTCAGCAAACATGCAGATAGACACGAACTCCAGAGTCCAAAGACCCCAAGCTGATCAAGATAGACTGCAAAGCAACAGATTATTCACCTCAACTTCTTACAACGGGTAAATAGCCGGTACAACCCTTCCTTCAAAATCCATGATGCCTAGTTAGACCCCGAGCTCCTGTGATGCGCATTCAACTTAAAAGGAATCTGTGCAGAAAAAAACACCGGTGGCAGTTCTGCAGACAAAGTCTGACAAAGCATCGCTGTTAGGGAACACAGGACAGACAAAATTGCGCATCACCGAGCAGAGTACAACCTGAAGAGGTGCGAATGACTCAGCCATGGGAAACAATCAGTGCAATACGCCGAGATTTTCGAGGGGCTGCTGTCTGGTACTTCTTGTACAAAAGGTTGTGGGGGAGGGGGAAAAGTGCACAAGGACGCCCTGACAGGAGAGGAGAGATGACGCGCCAAGTCATCCCTGACTGAAGGCGTGGGTTCACACAACACACCCAGAAATCTCTCAAGCGCAGACCACCCACGGGAAGGTCTCGCTACCCAGACGCTAGCAATGGGGCCCTCCACCCCCGAACTCAGACGCGGCCCAAACCCCCAGGGCAACCTGCCAGGAGGCAGTACGCACACCACAATCGCCTGTTGCCACAAGGGGCGCCCAACCGCGCCCACTAAGAGAGTGGTGTGCCCTGACCTACCTTCCCAACTCATCCAACTGAACCCAGCCTCTCCACGCCCAAATCCCAGCCCACACCACTCATGTGCAGATGGCCACATCGGTTGACGCCCTCCGGCCCAAGAGCGCACAGGGCAATTGATACAAATCTGCCAACATCCGCCACCACAGTTAGGTACAACGAGTACAATCACAACATGGGGGAATTGGGGGGCACGTGCGCGCGAGCACACACACACACACACACACACACACACACACACACACACACACACACACACACTCTACCGCAGTTCAACCTGGTGATGAGTCGGTGGAAGTCCAATGAAACAGCCTGGCACAGACATTCTTTTTTTTTGTGTGCCGTGTGCGGCAAACATGACCGCACACACGGGCACATGTGCGCTCGCGTGCACACACACACACACACACACACACACACACACACACACACACACACCACACACCACACACACACACACCACACACACACACAAGTGGGCTGTGATCCTTCCACGAACTGTGGAAAGAGAGGGAGAAGGGGGCGACGTTGGGAATATGATTACTTGCCCACCCTCGAGAACACATTCGGCTGGCCACAGACATTTATTTGCTGTCTTCAGATAGTGCGCCGTTCTCTGTGGTTTCTTGTGTTCGATCATCTGCAGAGGATAATGAAGAAACGAGTAGCTATATTTCCCACCCTGTGACAAATGTTTCTACAAAAGCATCGAAATCTGTCAAATCTGTCGAGTTCAGTAGAAATCCACAGGCATGCACAGAAACGCCAGAGTGAATATCAACATCCTAGGAAAGCCGTAGTGAACATCAACGCCCGTAATCGATCAGGATCCACACATTTATTACCCCCAGCAGTGTTGCAACATTATGGCTGCAAATCTGGAGATCCGATCTTCAGAAACACCTCCTCAGACGACAGATGCTCAATTTAACACTTCTGGCAGTCGCTTCGTCGATGCTGAGTTGCTTTTTTCAGTTTTTCCGATATCCGACTCGCCAGCGCACACGTCCCTCACAGAAGAGAATTCTGAATTCCCCACCTGCAAATTTGGTTATGGGTCCTGAAATCTATCGCCGGATTGGTGTAGCAATCGATCAATGAATGGGGGTTGCTCTGTTTGGCGACCAACGCTGCAGACAAACACCAATGTAGCCTGAGGAAAATTGCCAGTCCCATTACATCGCCGGTTTCAGCCAGTCCTAATCTCACATGCGGACTATTCATCGTCAAACAGCTTGCGCTCTTCGACCAGTCCACCCTCACATGGAATTGCGAGTTCACTCTGGCGATCCTTGGGGACGATAGGATAAACTATGGACGGGATTGACTCAGCGATAGGATCAATGAAAGGGATTCGATCTGTCCGTTGAATCCAGCATTTTTGAAAGGGTACACAACACAATATGAGGTAACTTCTGCTCACACGTTACAAATGCTGAGTACAATTGAGTATCCACCACCATCATCACATAGTACTAATGCTGAGTACACTTCTTATGGCTTGCAGCAGGAAATCAGTCAATCCTCTCCAGATATTGCCTGCACAAGGGACATCAGCACAATTTCCCACCGTCAATACACACACCCCACATGCCTATATTAATTAACAAAGACGCACAAATGAACTCAACGCAACGACAGAAAGAATCACAAGTACAATGCACTGCCGTCCGCGTTGAATAAACATCAGCTCTCCCAATTTCCAGAAAATTTGTATGTTTTGTGCCAAGATACAAATGATAATACATCGCCCGGGCAAGCACACTTGAGAATCAAAGTTGTGCCGATCTCAGTTCTTCGGGCGAACAGCGGTTATAGCGCTGCGACCAGACCAAAACGGCTGACAGCGTCAGCCAACAGCGAAAAGAAGTGCACCACTGGCTGTTCGTTTTCCTTTGGAGCGCAGCGCAAATCTGCTTTCGGAAAGAGAGGCTTGGATTGGGGGTACTGGTGGTTTAAACTTTAAACACCAGCTCAAAATGAGCCTCAGTTGACGAAGCTATCTTCCAAGACGCGCAAACCCTCAACTGGTACTCTTCATAGTGGCCTTCCGCCTTCACTACCAGAGCAGGCCCAGGTCCGAATCGAAAAGCTCTTGACGCCTATAGGCTCGGATCCATGAGCCTCAGTTGACGAAGCTATCTTCCAAGACGCGCAAACCCTCAACTGGTACTCTTCATAGTGGCCTCCCGCCTTCACTACCGGAGCAGGCCCAGGTCGGAATCGAAAAGCTCTTGACACCTTTAGGCTCGGATCCATGAGCCTCAGTTGACGAAGCTATCTTCCAGGACGCGCAAACCCTCAACTGGGACTCTTCATAGTGGCCTTCCACCTTCACTACCAGAGCAGGCCCAGGTCCGAATCGAAAAGCTCTTGACGCCTATAGGCTCGGATCCATGAGCCTCAGTTGACGAAGCAATCTTCCAAAACGCGCAACCCCTCAACTGGGACTCTTCATAGTGGCCTTCCGCCTTCACTACCGGAGCAGGCCCGCGTCCGAATCCAAAAGCTCTTGGCGCCTATAGGCTCGGATGAGCTGGTGGTTTAAGATGCAATAAGTTTAAGTTGTATGGACAGTTCCCTCTGGGAATAGAATTTCTTTACCCTTTGTTATCTGTCAGGAGCTCGATTTTCCTTCCAGTTTTAATGTATGGACTCTACTCGCAGAAAGTGTGGTCGCCATAAGTAGCTGGCGGTGCTTCGGCCAATGAAGCACCTGCAAGGTAACCCAAAAATGGCCTGCTGGCATACACCCAGATGATATGCCAGTCTCTTTTTTGTACCCTGTATTCAAAACGGTTTGGTCACGTTCATTACTACATCCCATCTTTTTCCATTAAATCACCAGTACGCAGCCCCAGCCTTGCAGAGATTTATTCATCGCCTACTCCAAAACCATCAGGGCTCCGGCCTACAGGAACACAATGGCTGGCAGCGCAAGCCGAAAACGAAAAAAGATGTGCGCCGCTGCCAGTTTCGAAAAGCTTGGCGTGCAATACAGCGCCTCCACGCCTGGGCGTCCTGGTGGTTTGCACCAAGAACCAAGTGCTATTTGCGCAATTGCTAACTACCGTGTTCAGCAGAATAGAACAACCGGTCATTATAGCTGTGTTTAGGGCAAATTTAAGTCCAGATACAGCGACAATGACCAGGCGTTCTATTCCAGCGAAGACAGTAGTAGTTACTTTTGTGTACCATTCAGCCACATTGCCAGTGTGAGCCCTGCCAGCTTAACCTTTTCTTCTCTGCAAACTTTGCCCATGCCAATAAAAGCTCGACTAGCATATAGCTCAGCTTTTCATGCTCTTTGAAGTCTGAATCATCAATATAATCAAATGCAATTCTCAGATAATTTCACACAGATTGCACAGACAAGGATTAGCACATACGGGGGGTTGTGACAAGAAATGAAACACTTAGAGACGAGTAGTCACTGGTCACGTCACTCACCTTCAACAGGTCCCCAAACATCCCTGGAATCATGGGTGGCCGTCTCAGGTTAAAAAACCTTGTCCCCACCTCATCGACATACTGCTCAACAGCACAGCACAGCACAGCACACCACACAGTACAGCACAACAGCGATCAGACAGCAGATAAAGAACAGCCAAATGAGTTGAAATGACAAATGATGAGTAACTGAAGAAAAGCAAAGTTAGCAAACACAACGAAATTTAAATAACCACATATAAGAAGTATTATTAATTCATTATAAAGTAATATTAACTTATTTTAAACACAACAAGAGTGCGAGGAACGAGCCCTCACAGGGCCCCTGTCAGACATACACATGTTCTGGGCAGAGGGCCCCAGCAAGCCGAGTGCTCGCCCTAAGTGAAGGCGGGCCTGAATATTCATCAGAGCGATTCAGGGGCCAAAATTCGCCATTTTTCATATGTGGGTACGCAGGCTCTTGCAGCACGCCAGTTGGTTGAGTGGACGTGTGCGCCTCACTAAGCTGTGTCGTACAGTTGGCCCAGGCCTTGGCAGTTGCGCCTGGGCACATACACACAAAGCAGGGCCTATACATCTTGAAGTGGCCACAAGCCTATGCAAAAGCAGTACTGTCGACGTACCTACCCCGCAGTCCTGTGCAAATGCAGCAAACGGCCCAAGTCTGGAGACTGAGGCCGTGCCCAACTGTAAAGGGCCCAGGCCCTCGACTGTAGTCTCGGGTCCGGGCACAGGTACTGGGGCCAACAGGAAGCTACTGGAAGCGTCCAGCCAGGCCACACGCAGCAACGCAGGGGCTGCCACTTCCATATAGGAAGAAGAGCAGCCAGGGTGGAGGGTATTCTGGCCCGCGTAGGCAATGCGGTCACGCTGCTGTGCTGCTGTGTGCGAAGCTGCGTGCTGCCTTGGGGCCAGAGCGTGTGCGGGCGTGTGAGTGGTGAAGTGGGGCGCTGCAGGGCAGCGGAGCGCTAGCATCCATAGCCGGGCTGCACGGCGCCAGGGGGTAAGAGGGTGATCGGTGGTCTTCAGGAAGGAGGCGAGTGTGGGTGGACAGGGTCTGATGAGGGGAAGCGAGATACGTACCTGGTACATGGAAGAGGTCGGCTATGGTGTTGACGTCATGTGCATTGGTCTTCGAGAGTCGAAGTGAGCCTGTTGCAAGAACGCTGGCGTAGATAGGATAGTCAGGTACTGTAGGCTGGGCGCTGGGCGCCAGACAGAGAGGAGCGACTTTGGATACTGTGCTGGTCTGGCCAGAGGGCTTGAACATCGGCTCATTACTTCATTGTATTGCTCTTACTTGGATGGGATCTCGGTGCATTTGTGCTCTCTGCTTGCACACGACTACCTGGACATCTGTGTGATTTTGCAAGTTGGTGTTCTGTATATTGTTCCCACTTATATTCCTTGCAGGAGTCATAAAATTTGGTTATTGAATCAACAACAGCATCACATTATCTTACAAAATTTACATTAAGAGTGAATGTAATTAAAAACTAGGCTACTCGCCTCGCTCACACGTGCAGCGCGGCCGTGCACCCCGCGCAAGTCGCCCGGGGGTCACCTTCACGGGGCACTCCATGCAATAAGAAATCAGCCTTTCTTTTCTTCATTTTTTTTTCTTGGGTGGGGTTTTTCTGCGCATTCCCAGAGAGGCTCATATCCAGGCTCATTTCTATTTTTGAGTGTTGGCTGTCAAGGGGGCGGAAGAGGGGTATACAAGGGGCTGGAGGGGGGTCTAAAGAGGGGTGCCTTAGACTGATTCTGTTGTTTTGTCTTTTATCTTTGATTTCTTGAGGAATTCTGATGCGACCCTCGGCCAAAAGTCGCTTGTATTGCAATTCTACACAACACTTCTTTTTCCTGCAATTTTTTTTTCTTTTTTCTTTCTTTGCACTGAGACTGCCTGGAACACTGCCCGTGGTCCATACCCGGCCAGGCACCCGGGAGTGTGTCCAGGCACAAGTTGGGTGCCCGGCCGCCCAGCAAAACAGCCCAAATTAAAAATAAAATAATAAATATACAAGGCTGGGTAGCACCCCGTACGCGCACGCGTACGTAAAAAAAAAAAATAAAAAAAAATGCTAGCTCCATTTCCGTGCGCACAGCCTCCCGCGACACGCATGGATGCCTGCACGGGTGCACGACCGTGCGGGTCCCCCGTTCAGGGCCCGAGCAGCCTCAGCGCGCGGGCCTTGGGAAGACAATTTCAGGGACGGCGGGGCAATCTCCCTCCCGCCATCCTCCACCTCTCCTCCGCCATCTCCCACATCCCTTCTACCATCTCCCACTACACTCCAGCCATCTCCAGCCTCACTCCTGCCACCTCCCACCTCCTTTTCACCATCTCCAACCTCACTCCCGCCACCTCCCACCTCTCTTTCGACCACCTCCCATCTCCCTTCCTCCCTCTCCCACCTTACTCTTACACCTCCTACCTCTCTTCCGTCATCTCCAACCTCCCTTCCGCCATCTCCGATGTCACCCCCACAACCTCCCGCTCCCTCCACCTCACCTGTCTTCCCACCACCTCCCAGCTCCCTTCCGCCATCTCCCACCTTCTCACCACCTCCTACCTCCCTTCCATCATCTCCAACTTCCCTTCCGCCATCTCGGACGTCACTCCCATCACCACCCACTCCCGCCACCTCCCACCTCTGAACAGTAGGAGTCAGTCAGACCCCACCCAACCCTACCCACCCCCCGGCCACACTCGAAATACTGATGTGGCAAACGAGTGCAAACAGGGCAGATTCGGGCATATCTCTGCATGCGCAGCAGAGGCCCGTCACCAAACAAAAAAGAAAAAAGAAAAAAGAAAAACATTAAAAAAGGCTTGCACAGGTGACCCATGCAGCCACCGGGCCGTTGAGGCTGCGCGTGTGCACAGAGCTAGCCAGCCCAGCGGCCCCACTAAACAAATCTCAAAAACGTTTCTCACCTCCCAATTCTTCGCTATCACTTTACTCTGCACCGGTACAGTATCTGCAGGTGTGTGCACCCAAGAGGACACTAACTAAGCAGCAAGCACACCTCACTGCTCAAGCATACATAGCCGACGGTCACATAAGACAACACGAACAAAGCGTCAAGCACTCCTTGCCACCCAAGCATCCAAGACCAGAGAGGAAGAAGACGGAAGTGCAGCAGCAGCGGTAAGGAGGGATTGTGTACCTTCTCAAAAGATGGATCACGAGAAAGACTTTTTTGATATTTCTTCCGCAGCATGGAGAATAACGGAAGAGACTTCCGCTCTAACCTGGATCATCCAAGGACCAAAAAAGCATATGGTTTGTCAAAAGAACTCTAGACATAAAAGCAATCAGGAAAAAACCCACATACCTGCTTCCAGAGCTAGCCCTTCCTAGGAGAGAGTTTATAGAGCATCAGAGTTCAATCATACGTACAGAACAGCAGCTCATGCAAAAGCACTCCTCAGTCCTGGGGAGGATCAGTCGTCCGGTTCCTATTCCACCGGCAAGCCAGAAAATTATTACAATAAGAATCACGCACGCTTCCTTCCGTCTGGCCGAAGGACCCCTGAGCAGCATTGATGCATTGATTGCTCCACCTTGGTGGAGGATTGACTTCCAGCTTGCCATGTCTCGCTCTTCCCTCTCAGACCTAGTAATCAGCTCTGCCAGATAGTTCCATGTCCCCTAGAGGAGCTCAACCCTTGACCAAGCTAGCGTCTACGTCCTCAGTTGCCCTTCTTGTCCATGGGCCGCAGTGATCTCAGCCCCACTTTTTCCTTCCCCTTGATTAAAAACACTAGAACCCTAACCCCTCAGCCCTCATCAGGAAGCCATTAAACCTTGCTGACACCTTCCCTGTTTCCTTCACTGAGGAGCGTCAGTATCAAAATAACAGTATTACATCATATACTCACTCACGCACCCTTCCGTTCGGCCGAAGGGTCCCTGAACAGCTTGCCTCTCCCTGTGACTCCTCTCACGTTCCTCACTGGAGGACCTGTTGGCTAAACATGAAAGCAAGAAAAGCAGAGATGGAAAACTGCAATGACCCTTTGTCTGTGTCATGTCGTTCTACAGTCTCGTGGCTCTCAATGGTGAATCTCCCTCAATAAGTCGTCTCATCCTTATCTTGTACCCCTGCAGATGGTCTGCGGGCCTAAAAAACTGCAATGACCCTTTGTCCATGTCATGTCGTTCTAGAGTCTCGTGGCTCTGAATGGTGAATCTCCCTCAATAAGCCGTCTCATCCTTCCTAAACCCCTGCAGATGGTCTGCGGGCCTAAATAGAAAAAGAACAAAAAGCTTTCTTCTAATTGCTAAGCGCCAGCAGCCCACACACACCGAGAGAGAGAGAGAGAGAGAGAGAGAGAGAGAGAGAGAGAGAGA